AAGGAAGGAAGGAAGGAAGGAAGGAAGGAGGGGGGGAGGGGGGAGGGAGGGAGGGAGGGAGGGAAAAAAAGGATCTTTTTCAAATTCTGCCGGCCTGAGCTTTTTCCTCAACCTTTTGGTCTCATTGCATGACTGACGTGGTCATCATGCACCCGCTTCAAACACGGCTTCTGTCTTCCATGCATTTCCTGAAATATCGAGGCCCTTCTGCTGCCCAGCTCCTGTCAACTTTCTGCTCGGAATTATTTTAAAGGCTGCACTGCCCATTTCAATCTGGCATTTTCAAGGGGTGCTAACCCTGTCACCCCTGACGTGTGAAAGGTCTTTCTGCATTTGTTGAGGAGCTGCTGGTTAAGATTTAACAGAAATAATGCTGCCCTGAGCTTAATTCGAGGTTTTCTCATGGCATGGCTGGCTGGGGAACTCCGGGAGTTGCAGTCCACCCATCTTAAAGTTGCCAAGTCTGAGAAACCCTGTTCTGAGACGTGCTTCCTGAACGCAACGCTCATTTTCCTCATTATGCCGGGGCAATCAAGTAATGAAGAAGGGTTTCCAAAGTTGCGTCTTGTGCAATCAAAAAGAGTGAACAACGTTTCGGAAACATAGCAAGGACTGTGAAAGAGATTTGGGTCTTTGAGGCATGAAGGTTTCTCCTTGGACGAGGCCCTCCCCTCAAAGAATCAAAACATCAAAGAATGCTGGTTTATTTCAGAATAATTATGTTCCATTCTGGAGAGATATTAAAAAAGATTTAGACAGATGGGAAAAGTTACAATTGTCCTTACTAGAAAGAATATCGGTGATTAAAATGAATATTTTGCCGTGAATTAAGTACGTGAGAGTTGGTTGCCAAAGCAGTCATGAAAGAAAGAAGTAGTATGGCGTCTCATCCTCCCCATGAGACACGGTGGGATGATGGTGCAATGGTGCAATGGTGGCCCTGAGTACTCAGAATATGGGTTTGGATCTACAGCGTGCCTGTTTTCCTAACACAGTTTGCTATATTGCAGTAATATTCCCAGTAACAGAAGATTTTGCAAGAAGAATCAAACAAAATGTTTTGTCTTAAAGGGAAGGAAATTGTATTCTGAGTAAATGGATATTGTGGTTTTATTGCAACATCAAATTCAGGAAGAAACTAATCCTGCTACTAGTCACTCACTGCCTGCTTCCTCCCCGGCTCCTGTCAACCCAGCAGCTCGAAAACATACATGAGTAGATAAATGGGTACTCTCACTCTGGTGGGAGGAAAAATGCTGGCAGCGCCTTACAAAAGAGACGGGAGCAGTTGCCAGTAGCGCGGAAAACTGCGCACGCCCGAAAAAGGCGCGAAGCAACAGAAACCCTGCCTCCTGCGCTCTCCAGCTGGGCTCTGCTCTAGGAAGGAGGCACTGGCAAACCCCTTCCAAAACACCTTGCCTTGAAAACTGCAGGGACTCGTCCAGGCAGTCACCGTAGAATCGGTAACAATTGAGTGTGGATAAAAAAAAAAAAAAGCAGTTCTCAAGACCAGTTGCAAAGAATGTGGTTTCCTCTGAAGGACAGTTTTGAAGACATGGATGGGGTTATAATATTTATTTAATTTATAAATGCACACACAGAAAATGGGCAGTCCAGGAGCTATTCTGCATCTACTCCCCAAAGACAGCTGCTGCATGTGAAGGAAACTTCAACAAATCTTCAGCTTGTAGTCCAAACTATCCATTAAGACAGTGTTATCCAAACTTGGCCACTTTAAGATGAGTGGACTTCAACTCCCAGAATTCCCCCCCCCGCATTGCTTCCCCGGGGAATCCTGGGGGTTAAATATCCTCATCCTTAAAAGGCCCAAGATGTGCAAAAACGGCATTAAAAAAAAACCAA